TTAAAATATATAAACTTCGATCAATCTAACCAAAATTTTGTGATCGAATTCGAGTCTGTTATAAAACTTCTAAAAAACTAATTTGTTGTTTTTTATCTGGATAGATGCTTGCTAAAAAGCTTTTTTGATTTCTAACTTTTATTATATACATATATAAGATAATAACAAATATTTTACAATTAACCCTCAAACTATTTTATTATATTATTATATTTATTATAATATTTTATATTTTGATTATCATTAATAAATGACGTAGGTTTTCTAGATAATAAATGAGCAAGCTTTTCTAGAGTAATCTTCCGAAATATATAAGGATTAATTAGAATTCATAATATTGCGTAGATAAAAGTCCAATTTTTAACACCCATTAATTAAACCATCTTTAAATTGATGATAAAGATGTTTCTAAAATAATAGGGGTAAATATTTGTATATTGCAATTTGTAAAATTTACATTTTTTATACTCAATTTAATTTTAATTACTAAAATTTAATATTAAATGATATTATCGATAAAAGCTAGTATTTTAAAACGACGCAAGTCAACTTTCATTTATAATTTAATAATTTTATACTTAATTATATGATACATAAATGAAACAGTATTGTTTTTGTCAATAATAGTGTCGCAATATTGCACAGACTTTATGTGTAATAAAACGAAAATGCTTTAATAATGCTTTTAACAACCTCGCGCAAAACTATTTCGCAATACATGGCAGTAAATTTTACAGTATTAGAATATTATTGAATTTATAGGAAATCAATGTATGGGAAAACGGAATATACCTATATATACAAATAACAAGAATAATATAAATCAAATTTTTATGGCCTCTCAATATAAATTTCCAAAAGTCAATAAAGATTGTTTGCTAGATTCATAGAATATGCACAAAGTGAATTGATATGAGAACTGTTCGATATAAAGTTATTTTGATATGAAATATCTGGAATATGGAGAAGCAACATATTTTATTTTATTTTTATAATTTATAAATTCTATTTTATATTTTACTATTATCAATAAACATATTCACTTCATTTTGTGTAGTCCATGTTATCATTCAAATAAATGTTAAGTAATTTTTTATAAATTGAAATCATTAGTCGATTTTATTTTCACTATTTCTTCTAATTCAATAAAAATTTTTGAAATTAGTGTACTCACTCATTAGTATTATTAATTAGTATACTCAATTATTTTTAGGATTTGTTCCTGATTGTTATTTATTTGATAATTCATATTCCAAATTCTATGTCATTAAATTTTATAAATGATTACTGATAAAATTATTTTTCTTATTCCATTAGATGACGGTAAAAGGAATTGTCATATGAAGCCTAAGAAAGTTTCTGCAAAAGTTTCATTATTTCTCATCAAAAAAATTGACATGGACGTCTCTGATAACTGGACCGTTGTAAAGAGGGATAAAATGAAGCCCCATAACGACGGTTTACTACATCATCATCCAACAATGTGAAGGTTCTAAAAGTATGGTGATGAAATTTTTTGAGGTATGTACCCAAATTATCTGTTACTTCAAAATGTGAGATATCCATTATAATTAGTAACCATAAGTGTTCAAACTTAGTAATTTTTTAAATATTTACTGAAGTAATAATACTAAACTCACATAAACATTCATATTTTTTCTAATAACCAAATATATATCTTATATATAAAATTCTTCTGTACAGGCGTATTGTTGACACTTCTCTTAAACGGTTATTGTTGAGCAATTCTTGCCGCAAAGAATAATGATGTACACGCACTGAATTTCACCATTCAATCAAAAATTGCTGGCAATTTGGTGCCATACCAATGATTCCGACTGGTCTTCCGTTTGACTTCAAACGATTGCAATTTCCAGTTTGCCTTGCGTTCGCAATAACAAATCGCAAGGCCAATCGCTTAGTGTTTGCGGGATAATTTCAAATAGATTATTTAGAAAATCATTGTTTTTCACATGGGCAGTTATACGTTGCCTGTTCACGAGTTGGAAACCATCCCGCTTTGTTTGTGTTAAGTCAGACCAAAAAACAAAAAATGTGTTTTACCAAAGAGCACTTCAATGAAACGGATAATTTGCGGATTTACTTTTATTTACTTAGAGAAGTCTAACTAAAAAACACTTCATTTTTGTAATCAAAATAAATTCATTACTGTTGTGTAAAAAATCAAATTTTTCCTTTTCAAATATAAAACAAACAAAAAATTTCTTCATCTTTCTCACGAAACCATCTGGTGGCGAAACGGAGTTCGTTGGGTTTGCTAGTATATATATATATATATATATATATATATATATATATATATATATGTATACCTTAAAAATACGATTTCCATATTTTTACAATAAAAAGCATTGGAGATTTATATGCAAATGTAATGGACATACGTTCACAACTGTACCATCAACAATCCAATATACAAGAAATATTGAAACTTTAATCCGAAAATTAAAAATAATAATTCTTTGTGAATGAATATTTTATTGATACACTTGATTATTTTTTGGAAGAAGAGTCTTCATATGTATCATCACTGATTTTATTTAAAAATCAGGCAACTAATTTTGATTTTATATAAATACTTTTGATTATCAGTTTTATTATAATTGATATTTCCAAATAAAATTTAATAATCATTCACGTTTTAATTGTAAATTAGTCTATGTTTCCAATAT